GTACAAAAATAAAGGGGGTGGGTGGGGTTCCAACCACCGACCCCCTCTGGATCCGCCCAGTACTGATATGGTCCCTTTTTTTAACAAACTTTGCTCTCCTAATTTTTTTTTTTTTAATTTTCACGCAAAACACGGAAACACGTTTTTTTTTTAAAATCGGAGTGTGTAGTTTGTTTCCTTGAAAATGTGATTTACAACTTACGTATAGTAGTTGACTGTTCGCTATAACACCTCCTCCCATGAAAGTATTTGTTTTTACTATTCAAAATAAAACAAGAAACACAGAAATAATTCTCTTTATGTCGCATATTCAACTTTCTGATCATGAGCATTTGTAATGTAAGACTTGTTCATTTTTTTAAAGTAAAAACTAAAATCTATATTTTCAACTTCGGTAGGTCTTTTTTATGTAACAATATAAAACACAAATTTAAACAGTATATGTGTTTGTATCCCCCCTCCCCCCTTGAGTTCTATTACAGGGGTACACCCAATCGCAACTTCTCGGGCCTTTCCGATTAGCGGAAAAACGAAGTTGCTTTTCCGACCTCTGACGGAAAGACCCGAGATGATGCGATTGAGTGTTCGTACACCCCGATATGATCCAAGTCAGTAAAACGCTTTATTAAAAAGAGCATGAAATCGAAAGTAAGAACAAGAACTGAAGAAGATTGAAGGGATAATTCATGCAAGTGTAAATCATTTTGTTTGAGTTTCTTGATTTAAACTGTGTGAATTACTCCATTAACATCACCACCAACTTTACCAAGACCAAAAGTTAGCAGACGGAAGTGCCTTGAATGTGTCATTGTAAGTACGGTTAGCATGGTTCGTACCGTGCAAACGGATTAACACAATTTGCACACGTAACTTAGGCCACATTCTGTCACATAACAGTCTATCTGATAACATTTTGATTGAAAAATTAGGGCTATCTTGTCAGTGTAAGAATTTTAAATAAGATTTGTTCAGATAATGGCACATATTTAAAGGGGAGTTAATAAAGAAATATGTATATTTGTAGCCATCTTTCAAAAATCTTCCCAAGAACCATTCATTGGCCCATAAAAGTTTAAACTTATGTGAAACATTTATTACATAGTGTAGATTCAAGTTTGTTTATATCATGACTCTGGGGATTAGGGTGGACCACAATAGGAGATCAAAATTGTACATAGGAATACCTTGTATTTTTTTTTAATCATTTAATCAAGAACAACAAAGATTTGATCAGTCATATCATCATGCAGTATAGATTCAAGTTTGTCACAATAGACAATCAAAGTTTTACACAGCAATATATATATTATAATATATATATAAAAGTTTAAAATCTTATTTTAGAGAGAAGCCATGATTTAATCCTTTTGGTATGGAAACATCCTCATGTAGTGTAGGTGATTTTTTCTTCTTCAAATCAATGCAATCATGACCCTTAGGGGAAGGATGGGGCCACAGTAGGGAATCAAAATTTTACATATTAGGAATACCTAGCAAACTGGGTCTTCAGATAACGTCAGCTAAAAAGTAGGTCACAAAGACTTACATTTTGAATTTTATGGCTATATTTAAATATTTCCATTTCTAATTTTTTTGTCTGTGATAACTCTTTGAAAGTTAGGGGAGTTTATTTTTTGATAATTCTGCCGGAATGAAAATTAGGCAGCCAGATCGATTGGTCAGGAGCTAAGGAGGCCTAATATGCATGCAAATCTCATGCCCATCTGACCGAGATGCTATGGAGGCCAAATATGCATGTAAATCTTGCACGTCTGTCTTTGTGTTTGACGTCAGTGGGCGAGGACTATTGAAATTTGGCATGGGAGTCCTTGTGTAATTTAAATCTATTAGTCTACATTTTTAAAGTCTAAATCTACAATTTTTAATATTTCACAATGAAATGGAAATTTTACCCGAAGCCCGTTATGCAGATTATCCCATGTTTCCCACTATCGTTGATGCCCTGGCATACAACACTAACTAGACAGTGATTCCTTAAACATCTCCGGTACTTATTGGCTTAGAATCATCATCCTTTGTCAGTTGATGCATCATCATAGGTCTTCAGAGTGTTTTAACCAAAATGTAGGTCATGATGACCTACTACTGGAATTTCAAGGCTTTGTGATAGATTTTACAATTTATCAGAAGAGGGATTCAAGGCTCTTGGGGCTGATGTTCTTGTTAAACACTGATATCCACACACAAATAAGAGGAAACAGTACAACATACTCAAAATGGGTAGATACAAAAAATCCTATTGGAATAATATTTTAAATTCCTAAGGGATTTTTTTTTAAAACTAAGATTATGAAATTAAGACGAAGATGGCACAAAAAATAATCCTATAGGAATAACTCTCAAATTCCTATGGGAATTTTAATCCTAAGGGAATTTTTTTTCCTAAGGGAGAAAAAAATTCCCTTAGGAGAAATTTTGTTTCCTATAGGATATATTTTCTCCCATAGGATTTATTTTTCTCCTTTAGGAAAATAAATTCCCTTAGGAAATTAAATTCTCCCATGGTAAATTTAAGTCCCACAGGAATTTTTAAATATCCTGCAGGAAATTAAGAAATCCTGCAGGATTTTGATAATATCCCTCAGGAATTTTATTTTTCCTACAGGAACTTTATTTTTCCTATGGGAATTTTTTGTTCAAAGGTGATTATCTCACCTGACAGGTGAGATTTACCTGTAACAAAGGTAGTTATGAACTCTGTGAGTGATGGTCTACCACTTGGTATACATGATTTTCATGTGAAGTGAGGATTTGGCGGGCGCCAAAATGCCACTTTTGAAGTGGCATAATTATCCGGCACAGTGTTTAATTAAAATTCTTATTTCATTTAAAAGTTATTTAAACTTTAAATTTTTTGGCGGGTTTGATTGACATATCATGGCACTTTCACAAATTTTAACTTTATTCTTAATCCTTTGGAAAAGTGGCAAATTTGATGTGTTTTAATGAGAAATATTAAAACTTTCATCGAGAAAAATAATTTTATTCAGCGAAGAAATGTCAGAAAGCAAAACACCTTCACAAGTATCGTCATTCCGAACCAAGACATGCGTTTAAAGTTTAGCAAATCGAGCACACCCGTGTTATGTACACAGTTTTTGTAAACATGGCTCGAGTTCTGTTATTGTTTATATATAGAATTCACCGGGTGCGTTCAATCGTCACAGTCTGCTTACCACAACTGCACGGACTGACAATATATTATGTGTTTGTTTTGCTTCGTACGTGTCTACTCTGAATTTTTCTAGATTATAGTATTAATATTTTTCATTTATACAAAACGAGATTGCCACTTTTCCTAATGATTAAGAATAAAATCAGATTTGTGAGAGTGCAAGGATATGTCAATCAAACCCGCCAAAAAAATTGAATTTCAATATCTTTTAAACGAAATGAGATTTTTTATTAATTTTTGTGTGAAATTGCTATTAAAATATATAAGTCGCAATATTATAGACAAAATAATAACTTCAAATCTGTGTCCAAGTACCTTTAACTGTCAAACTTTTATTTAACCGCGGTAAAACTTTAATTTACGATAGTGATGTTTTTTTTTTAAAAAATTGATTGGCTTTACTGATAACTATTAAACGGAGATGATCACTTTGAAAACTTTGATTTACTATTCTTATCACTTTGATTAACTATTGTTAACTTTTGTAAATTATAGTAAACCATAGTATTTTTGTTATGGCTGGTTACAGCTTCCTGTATATTTTTATTGTATATTTTCAATGCCCTTTTTGATTGGACACACGAATTAAGTGTCGGGTAAAAAGTAAAATAGGATGTACATGACGCCATTTGTTATTTACATAGATTTTGTAAAATTAATTCTCATTAAATTTAATTCGGTGAGATACAAGAGGAGTTGAGTTGCATATAATGAATGGGTACCCTAAAAGACGGACGGATGGCCGTATAGACACACGAACTTCTGATCAATATAATTTATACCCACCCTTTTTTTTCAAGATGGCTTAGAAAATATAATCGCATCTTTCTAAATAGTGTGCATGTACATAGTGCCTTTAGAGATTTTTTTTTTCGTTTTGAGGATTTGTGTATATCAGCTCGAGATGTTTAATTATTTTACACATTCCATCTTATTGCACCTATTTTTTCTAGAGTTTAAAAGTTTTGTTTGAGTGCTTTTTCGGGGTTCCCCTTAAAATTTAAACCAAAATTTTATTCTGTTTATCCATTCAAATAAAAGCATAACTTGTAATGCACACGAAATGAGAACACCTTTTTTTAAACTTCCCGATAACAATTTTCACGAGGACAGTTTGCAAAAGATGCATTCTTTTGTTTGTTAACACTCAACAAACGTTAAAAGAACCAATATTACAATTGACTCTTCTTTGGAATAAAAAATACCCCATTACATGTAGATGTATAAGGATTTTTGTATACTTCTTCTTACATGTACATACAGTAAAAGGTAAGATCCGTTTATAGTTTGGGTTTTACATTTATACATGTTGTATTTTCCTCTAAATTTAAAAGACATTGAAACACATGTAATTAACATTATTGCTTTGAATAAATTAATGTTCTTATCACCACAAATTAGTTCAGTCAGTGCAGTTTTTCATAGACAGACCTTGCTCTTTGAAATTTTATCTCATCTCAAATATTTTGCTAATGTAAATTGATAAGAACAATTTTTAAATTTTTAAAATTGTCATTAACGAGAAGGCGTTTTAAATTTGAGTCATTTCTTGAAAGATCTTGACCAAAAGAATGCATAAATACCACAAAATCTTTCATAATATTTAAAAGCTATTCTAACTTCGACAAGTTTATTTTCTGCATAATCATTAAATAAGTACATGTTGTGTGTGTTTTTAAAATCATGAGAATATAATCGATTTTTTTTTCAGATCAATTATCATAATTGGCACGCCATTCATTTTTTCTTTTAAATATTACTTCCCTATTTAGAATATAACCATAATGATAAGAATCCACCAGGAAGAACCTTGAAATTTAAATAACTGTTCTTTAAATCAATATGCACGATTTTTTAACAGCAGTACAGTACCGGGGTATTTAAACTGAATTATCTTACCTCAGTGAATTAAAGGTAAGTTAGCATGCTGTTTTTTGCTAGTTAACTAATACATTAAATTCTCCCTTCTATCATTTTTTTTTATCTTTCATCAATAAATTAACTTCGTTCATCGTTCCATTATTTCTTTAATGTTTGATTGGAAGAGCTAAAAAATAGTCTCCTAATTATCAGCATATATCTTAAAAGGAAGTAGGAATATCAATGCACTTTTTAAAAATTTGCAAAAATTAGCTTTTTATATGCAACTAATCAAAGTCTTCACTACTGATAAATCGTCTTTGAATGTTTCACTTGAGTCATTCATATATAACACATATTTGATTTTTTTTGGTTTGTGTGTTATTAAATTTTGAAATTAAGAAAATATGCTTATCATTTAACTGTAAATTATAAATTTCACCTTACGTATATTTGTGTAAATTGACTTTTGAAAAAAGTGTCAATTTCTTATTTATCAGTCACGTTTCGGTTTATTTGTTACAGATATGCACAACCTATTCAGAGAATCATGAAAAGATATTGTTATAACATCGTTTTAGTTGCTTTTCTTGTAAACTTTCTGCAGGTAATCACTCGATATTTTTAGTTAAATATCGTTGTTTAGATATTTTTTCACTTACATGTACATGTATATCTTTGTCGAGATATTTTTGATCTTTTAAAAGTAAGGAACAAAAAAATGTTTGTCGTTTTTTGTGTGTTAACAAAAAAATTTGCTAGAATCTTAAAGCCATATATGGCGTATGTACAATTAAAATTATTAGAATAAGATTATAAGAACTTATTATTTGTATCATTACTTTATATAAAGATAGAACTTTTCCGTAAATTACACAATCTAAGTCAATTGCGTTATAAAGATATCACAATTTTATTTAGGTTCTCGGAATTTTCTCCGACTCGGAAGAAAATACAAAAGATTTAAATAACACAAAACAGAGAAGATAAAATCGTATTATTAGATGTAACGAGGGGTTCTCTGTGTTAAGAATTGTATGAAAAGTTTTAATTTAAATGTATTAACTATATTTCTTTACTTAATTTTGTATTTTTCAAAAAAAAATTTTTTGATCAGTTACGCCATATATGGCTTTAACCAATTAGTTTTTGAAATTGCTCATAATTTTAATTTATAGGACATAGAAAGTGTCCTATACAGTTTACCAGACACAGCAAAAATAGTTAAATCATGTCCAAAGTCAAAGACTGATTGGATGAAGAGGTCAGCAATCAAAAATTGCTCTAGTTCTACACATTCCAATATTTCTTATCACTGTGTACTTAACGAATGGGGAAATGCTTCTGTTGAAGTGTGTGCAGCTTCCAGAGTAATACTTTGTAAGTTTTCCAATGAATTTACGTTTTTAAATGCATAGAATTGGGTATTTGAAAATTCTTACTTGAATGTAATAATGTTAATTTGAAATGAACATAATTTCAATCTTGATTTTTAATGTATAAAAACGCCTAAATCATATATTGCTTGTAATACATTATCTGAACAGGGCTTGATGTATTGATGAAAAAGTATTATCAGCTCCCATCAAGTGGTAACTAAACAAAGTAAAATCAAGGACAAATTGATTTTTCACATATTAAAAGCCTGCTTTCTTTATTTTCTTTCGTAAAAAAGATGGAAAATGTGCCGAGTATAACTTTGGAGCCAAACGAATCCAGAGCTCCAGCATTCAAAGATGCTCATCTTCAAATCCTCCTTGCCCCGATGCTTATAATTCTAGCCAAGCCTACATGTGTATGTATCTAAAAGTAATAATATTTTTAAATGGGGCAATCGACATCTTATGTGAATGTTTTATATCATGTTTTGAAAGCTATAATGTTAAGGCTTATATTTTAATACTAGAAGTGGATGTGTGCACATTTTTTGTCAAAATAATAAATTGAAAATAATTTCCATTATGCTAAGTAAGCGTCCCTTACCAATATTTTTTCTTAGGTGCCCGACTATAGTTTTTATTGCGCAATATTTCGCGCATAGTAAAACGAAGCGTATTTACTGTTTTACTGGAACTTTTCCGCTTAATTATTATAATCAAACAAAATTAAGAGATTATGGGTATAAAAATGTAACAAAATTTGATTTAATTGATTTGTGTAACCGATATTGAAATTGATAGGTAGATTGACGTCGTTGCAGTGTGTTTTTGACGTTATGATAATCTGTATCTCTTAAAGAAAGGAATAATAAAAATATTATTTAAGAAAAAGTAATAAACATACGCTCTTGAAATTTAAACCATAGAAATTTGAGAATATCTCCAATATTTTTATCATGTTTTCATGTGAATCTATTGTGTACGTCTTATTTTGTAGTTCTCTATTAAAAAAAGTAACATTTGCTAATTTTTTGGATTTTGAGATGCCCCCTCTGGTAACAAGACGGTAGAATTTTGTGTTTCTTACATATATTGTATAATATAGCATTACTGATCAAACATGATAGTTTGAACAAAATGTCTATTGTAGTATTTGTATAATTTGCATCAAAGTGCAAAAAATTGGCATTTTCCGACATAATCCTATGGTAAATGTACCTGTATTTTGAGACAGTCCCTCAAAAATACCTTGACGGTAGATTTCCCCTAAACTTTGCATGTACACTGAAAATAATAAATAATAAGTTATATATGGTATAAAAATGAAAAGTTTCGCTATTGTAGTTTTCACACAATAAAACTATAGTCGGCCCCCTTAAATATCTTCAATATTCATATATTAAAATTAGGATATAAAAAAGGATTCAGTTATACGGTGTTCAGAAGTATACGATGATGTGTTTTGAAGAGAATAGCATATGAAATTTCGTCAGCCATTCAAAGATACACTATAGTCTAATGTATTTTTTTTCTAGACCAAACATGTTATCATGGTTTTGCCTCAAACATTTCCCATAATGCCTCCAAAGCAGAGTCGCATTCATCATCATCGAGACTATCTGAGACGGATGTTGCAGTTATAACAACGTACGTTACCCCCCCCCCCCCCCACACACACACACCAACTAGCACCTCTGTAAAGCCGGATTAATGCATAATCTGATAACATTCAGTTACATGTGCAATCATATTGGATGACATTTTCATTTGAGGCTTTTAAATTACTAGTGTTACGTTAGCTTTTGCTTTCTTTCTTCAAAAAGTTTTCCAAGAAAAATTATTTCTTCTTTCGACGGAAAATGCAGATTGATGTGCGTCTTTTTTTTTCGTTTATGGCTTGGTTTAAGCTTGGGTTTAATTTAGGAGAGGGTATAAGTTCTCTCATTTCCTGCCTCAGCATCGATAGCATGCTTTAGTATTATTTTACATTATTATTGTTTGCAGTTAACTGTGAAGTTTAACGTTACGTCACGATCTTTTTGACCGCTGAGTTGACCAAATACGTCAATTGTTAACTCTGGATGCATCTGACGAAAAAGAGCGTGACGAAATACAAAACCTTACACTTAACTGCAAACTATAAAATTGCCCCTCTCCTGGAAAGGATTTGGGGGAATAGTAACGCAATCGGGAATATATTTGTGGTGAAAGACTTGTGCTATTGAAAACGGAGTGTCGGAAATTGCAATGCGGTCAATCCTCAGCTTCTTGGTGTACTTGAAGGTTTGAATAAGAACGCTTCGGATTTTAGGGGGGAAAAGTTTTAAATTTGGTTATAGAAAAAAATGTGAAAATTAATTTGCTAGATCCGAAAGAAAAATAAAAATGCTTAAATTGATTCAATCTATTTTTGATAGATCAATTATCATTTTGGCAATTACCATTTCAACGACAGCGTGCATTGTTCTGAAAAGAAAGCTCTGCATATCATTCAATCGTCAACTAGGTAAGAAGATGCATATGTTTTATCATTCCTTATAAATCGAAAAGCATATTTTTATTAGTGTTATGCTGGAAAAAAAATCCTTATATAATGCCATGCTATAGAATAACTTGCGTCTAATCATATGTCTTTTTCAATCTGTTTTAGATGAATGCCAAACACCATGCATGGACAATAACAAAGATACTCATAGCAACAAACAATTGATAAAGTAATGACTTAGATAGAAAGGATTATTCGCTAAGTGATCTTTTATGAATGATAATAAAGTTATATTTCGAATATCTCCCATCTGCATTAATAAGACAGTACTGTATACAGGGTAATTTTCGCCCCGTATTATTTTCGCCCGTTTGTGCTTGCGGATAAGTTAACCCCGTTTTAAATTCGCCCAGTCATAGTTCTGTTTAAGAAATTATGCTGTGTAATTTGAGTTTGCCCCGTTTTAAATTCGCCCAATCAAGAAGAGGGCGAAAGGGGCGAAAATAAAACGGGGGCGAAAATTTCCCTGTATACAGTATTTGTTTTGTTTGTTTTTTTTTTAAACAGTCTGATTATTATATTTTTACATTTATTTTTTAAACAAATTTTATACACATATAATATTTTGATATATATTTTTATTAAATGATTCATCTTAATTAAAGAATGTTTTTTTTAATAATATTAAATAAAAAATCAAAGAATTCCCTTTAACACGATATGGTGTTACAATGGAGGTTTCTAAACATGTTTGGCATGATCCAAAAAGTAATGTCACAACTTCGATTGCAAAAACAAAATTTTATTTGATAGAAGATATATTTATTTCAAATCAGACATGAACATTTTAATAAGTAAGATTTTTGTTATCTCCACTCCTACATGTAACTATCAATATTTTTCTGATGAAAAACAAACCATTTTCAATGGTAAGATGGTCCATAATTGTATAGTAAATTTTACATATTTTCTTGGATTTTTCAGTGGAACGATCTGGTTTTTTTGTAACACATTCATAGGCTTGACGACATAAAAGTCAAACAGTTGACACTTTATGGATAATTGAAGTGAAATATATGGAGATAGAGAATAGCATTAAAGCTCAAAGGTCTTTAAAGAATTAAAGATAGGAAAAAAGCAAACTTGTATCTCCGAAACCTCAGAGGTGGGATCAGGTACGATAGAGGAGTGAGCATTCCCTGCCGACCGGTCACAACCGCCGTGTGCGACTTGTCATATGATTGAAAAAAATCGATAAATCTGTCGTCAATACAGTGTGTAAATAATGGCCGTACTATTAGTATGAAAAACAGTCAGCATTTGACATATGATAAATTGTAATTAATGACAAGGTCATTGTATCGACTAAATAAAGTTTATGAAAACAGTGTAAACACCGTTTTCAGCACTATATTTTATATAACTTTGGCAGTTTTATTCTCAGTCAGAATAGTTTATTGACTTCTATCTACTAGTATCATATTTCATATCATGAAGGGCATTTGAAGGACATTCTTTCTTATTGGAATAAAATATTAGTTTAACAACTTCTGATATTTGTCAGACTGTTACAGAATATCATTATTAATTTATTCAATGAAAAAATTATACATGTAGTATTTTCCAGATAAAATTTTAATAAATATATATTCAATATAACATTCTGTGAGAGAGCATACAACACGCCCCCCCCCCCCCCCCCACACACCCCCATCTCATGAAAATTAGATTGTTCTTTCGTTTTTGGTTTATGCTTCAATACAATAGTACTGTAGCGTACAGTAGAGGAGAAAAAATACAAGTCTTATTCTAATAAGATTGCCCCCACACCCGAATTAAACATTTCTTCAGAAGAAGTAATCAATAGTCAGATAAAGTATTATATCAAATGCTTTATTGTTTATATCTGAGAAAGACTGAGGCTAAAAATAACTCTCTCTCTCTCTCTCTCTCTCTCTCTCTCTCTCTCTCTCTCTCTCTCTCTCTCATTATTCGTTTGTTTAAAACTATGACAGCAATATTACCTAATAACTTAAATTTAAAGTTGTGAAAATTTGATTTATAACCCGTGATAAAAATGCTTCTTTCTATCTTCTTTTCGAGTGTTATCAAGGCCGGGAAATGACAATAGATAAACATAAATTCTATTAAAAATCATGAAAAAATTTAAATGACGCATATTTAAACATATTGGATAAAATTTAAAATATGAGTCAGCTGTGTTTTTATGCAAAACATCTACGTCTACAGAACTTTCTTATTTTTCTTTACATTATTCTATACGAAATCGCCTCGGCAAGGAAATACTGTACGTATATGTAATATGGTTGTTATATCCGTTGTAATTTTTTTCTACAAGTCAGTTATATTCTCTTATAAATTCACATACTTTGTTATGGTTTTATATACATCTGCAAAAAATAAGCATGCTTATTTCACAATTAAATTATTCTTTGTTGTTGTTGTTGTTGCATTTTTAAACTACAGCGTTTGTTAATAACAACACATGTTTCGCAGCAATACGAAACTTGTTATCAATGAAAACATTATTTTAGAATACACAGTCATTTGATTTTTTATAACTTCTTGTATATGCTTCAATATCTTAAAGAATGCTGTAAGAACTAATACGTATAGTTAATTTACATAAAAATAATTTTGATTTTTCAAGTGCTGAAATTGTGTCAAGAAAGAAGATGATAAATATTTCAGAAAATAACATACGCAAGATATGATCATATCACCAGAATTTTAAAAAGAAAAAAAAGGTAACCAACACTTGGGGAATTTTTTTTTTTTTTTTTTTTATTCACATCTCTTTTTACAATATAAAACATTGAATTAATACATGATGTTTTTTTTTTAAATAGAGATAGGTAGAAAGAGGAATAGAGGAGAGCAAGAGAAAGAGAGGAGAGAGAGAGAGATAGACTAAGTAGTGAAAGAGAGAGTTTAATGGAAAAGTTGGTTCCATCTGATCCACTGGGCATCAAATTTTTCTTTTCCACTATTTCTATAAGATATAAATTTGTGTATTTCATAATAAAACTTCATTTGTGATATTGCAGCACATAAATTCAAAGATTTCTTAGTACATCTTGATGTGTAAACATAATATTTCAGCCAAAGGGCAATAGTATTTTGAATATCAGTATAATTCTCAATGTAACCTAAAATAAAAGATTTTTTTGTAATATTAATGACTAGACCAGTCTTATCTTCAAGAAAAATTACAAATTCTTCTAAAAATGATTGTGTATAATCACATTCCCATAAAAGGTGTTCTATTGTTTCTTCTTCTGAGAGGCAAAAGTTGCAGTATTTAGAGTCATTTTTGTTAATTTTGAATAAAAATGAATTTGTTGCTAGAATTCTGTTTATAATTCTATATTGAAACCATTGGAGTTTACAGTCTTTTGTCACTCTGAAGGGTATTTTGTGGAATTTTTTCCATTCTTTATTGTCAATCTGTAAAATCTCACTCCACTTTGTTTTACCTGTTGACACAGAAGAGTTATGGTTAAGAATTTCATAAAAACATTTGGATTTGTGACATTTCATCACCTTGTAGATAATTCTCATAATTAATGGGTTTTCTAGCTTTTTAATAGGTATGTCAAGGCCAGAATTTTTTATCCAAGATTTTATAGCATGAATAATACTACTATATTCTAAAAAATTCATCTTAATCATGGGATAGGTATTACAAAAAGATTCAAAACTTAGAAAAGAACCATCTTCATTGATAATATCATTAACACTTGGGGAATTTACAGGCTTTCCCTTGAGGATTCCGACATAAAACATAATTTGTGACTCATTTTTTGGTATTTTTTTTTTACATTTTCACAGCTTGAGAAATTTGCATATATTTTTTATGTATTATATTCTTTAAACAGAAAAATCAATATCATATTCTATTCCCGCAGATTTTCTTTGTATAGGATTGCACTCATAGCCCTTTCTTCCTTGTTTAAATATGGAACAACGGGTATTTAAAAATGAGTACACAAGGGGGATTTCTTCTGTAAAAGCTATGTAGTGGGGCATAACAAAATAAAATAAAATAGCAAGGTTTTTAAAGGGAACTGTACTGTTATGTCATAATGTAATTTTTCTCTACTTAGTGTATATATGTTATTATATATTTTGAATTCTATTCCTTTGACACCAATTTGTCGATTGACCTACTTTCTTACGATGCATTTGTATTAATTTGATCTACGGAGTACTAGTATTCATTTTACCCCTTCCATAGCAAAGATTTTAAGTATTTATAGACAAATTGATATTGATATTTCGATGCATTAAAAAATATTTGACTGTTTTGTTGAAAATTATGAGCATGTTGTACTTTTATTTTACAAACCAATTTTAAGTATTGTGAGGGGATAAGGTTGGGTATGGAGGTTATCACTAGAATTTAGCATTTTTACATATAACATATTATCCTGTATTGATTTCTATAATGACAAAATCTCTCAGGTAGTGCGCAAAGTTTAACTCAAGCTAGCAAAAACTGGCATAACCAATAAAAAAAATTATATAAGAATTTATCGTATTTGGTTTCTCTTTCGAACGGTGCAAGATTTATTCTGATATTTGCAGTATTAAGGAATGTACTACTATTCAAATTGACATTTATCAATTCGAAAGTTAATCATTATGCCCTATTTTGTATATCGATTACTTAATTAATTGTATTATTCTGAATTTTTTATTGTCACTATTCTCTACATCTTTGTACTTTTTCTACGTTGCTTATGAACATATGTATCTTCTTGAAATAAAATACACGGAGTTTTAAATAATACCGTGCAATGTTATTTATTGCATTTCCCAGTGTTTAGTGTTATATAAAGAATTCTTTATTCTTCATCTTTCTATTTTGTGTGGCTCGCGCAGCACAGTTAAGGTTACAAATTGAAATATCGGCGATTATTTAAGATAAAAAAACACATACTTTATTAGGATGGGCGATTCTTTTTAGGACTTCACTGATATAAAAAAAAGTAATGTGGTTTAAATCTACATGTTCGGGACATTTGGATTTTTTTATGTAGACTTGTCACGTGATGCAGACGTCACATGGTTTTAGCATAAATACTTGCAGTTTAGAGGTCATCTATAAATTCCAACAATATTGCAAGGACATAACCAAGTTATAAGGCTTAGTTTAATTTATAATCCTTTTCAACACTACATGTACATGTAGTTTGTGGAAAGTGCTGCAAAACTATATAGAATCCCTTTTAAATTGCTAAAATTTAATTTGTTGGACGGCCGCGGCAGTTTGAATATTTTGCTGGTCAACTACATTAAA